GGAAGGGCGCCGAGGGCGGCCGGGACGCGACGCCCATGTGAGGTCGCTGCCGGCCTCCGGCGCGCTCAGCCTTGAGCAGCATCGGCTGGGGGAAGCGGGGCGCGGGGAGGAGGCCCCGACAACCTCGTGACAGTCAGGGGAGAGGCGGCCCGGAGCGGAGAGGCGCCGGGACTCACGGGAGCCAGGCCCGCGGCTTCCCGCTGGGGCCACAGGCCTAGAGGGCGCGGCGAAGACGCTCAAGAGACCCGGCCACGTTGGGGCCGAGCCGGGGTCCGCGGTACCTGGGTGATGGAGTCTCCGAAGAGCAACACCCGAGGCCAGAGCAGCGAGCTCCCGCAAGACACCGCCTCACACAGCGCCATGCTACCGGCGGCCGAGAGGCGGGGCCAGGCCGGATATCCTGGAGGGGGCGAGCGGCCGGGAGGCGGGGCAGGAGAGAGATGGGAGGCGCCTGCGCAGCCCAACACCCTCGTGTATGTCTTCGCCCGGTGACCAGTCTTCTTGTTTTCCCTCGGGAGCTCCATGATCTACGGTCCTTAGCCGACCAACTGGTCATTTTTAAGACATGCGACAGCTGTTACTTCTTGTAAAGCTCATTTTTGTCCGTTTACAAAAGCTCGGCCTCCGGCATTCATTCACTTTTTGTTGGTTCTCTTATCTGAGTCTTCAGGTGCTGGGTGTCCGTGGCGACCCTGCCCTCGGGTTGCTCACCGACCCGTCGGAGACGCAGGCGAGCCCGCATCTACCCGCCGTCTGGCTAGTGTCGTGTGTCAGTTCCCCCGGTGGAAACCAACCCTGAAAGGAGAGCGACCTGGCGCCGCTATCAGATCCAACAACATCCACCGCTCGAAGATGTTTAAGCAAATGGCAATAGTGTAAATAACGAACGGTAGGAAGTACTTCCAAGGGATTCATTCATCACAAAACCAACCCTTGTTAAATATAATTATTCAACCATTTAGCCAACATTTTGACCTCACTTAGAGCTTATGACATTTACTAGACAGTGATAAGGCAGACTAATCAGGGAGGGCGACTACATGGGGTTTTGTAGTAGGGGAGAATTAGGCTGAACTCTGAAAACAAGAAAGAATAGTGGGGGTTTATAGCCAAGGAGCAGGGTGAGGAGTCAGTCAGATGAATGTAAAGCTGCCAAGAGGTAGGATAAATCTTTGCTAAACTGACCTAACAGGATTCTTGCTGAAGGCAGGCCAGGGTGATACCAGGGTGATCAGATCAAGAGTGTGGGAAAAAGAGCCAGAAGAACATCTTGAAATGACTAAGCTTAAGGTGAAAACCAGAGCAAGGGGAGCAGTGCATATTAGAAAAGCTGACATGCCTTTTTGCAGCTTGGATGTGCAGTGTTGGGGGGAGAAAGGCCGGAGCTGGAGAGGCAGATAGGGTGATGCAGAGTGTGACCCCGTCTTGAGGCTGGGAGGTCCCTGGCTTCAACTAGAATAACCTGGGGGCTTTAAGAATGTGCTGATAAAGGACCATCGCTTTATTTTTAATGCTCCCCAGGTGATTCCGATTTGCAGCCAAGGTTGAGAACCATTGTTAGGCCAAGTTAAGGTGTTTGGACTTCATCCTAATTATGGTGAAGAAGCCTTAAAGGATTTCCAGGAGGGGAGGCTTGAAGGCAGATGTTATTTTAGGAATTAACTATAGGGAGAGGAGAAATGAGGCTGTGGCAGTAGGAGCCAGAGGGGAAGAGATGACTTGGACTCAGAGCCACGGTAGAGATAAGACAGGGGCAGATTCAAGAGCAATTTAGAATCCTTAAATCAGTTACCTCAGGGAGAGGGACTAGGAGGAAGGACTTCCCTTATGCTGTATATAACCTGCACTGTAAAGGTATTACAAGTGTGTATTTTTTTTACCTTAATGTTTTAAAATCTCTCATAACAAAGTCTTATATGACACATAAAAGGTGAACCTCAGACCTGTGCTTTGGGCCAGAGACAAAGTAGGGTACCTTATAGAAATAAATGTATTTAGTTTCAAGTAGAAACTCAGATTCAGGCACTGAAGTTTGTCACAAAAGCACAGGGAACGACTAATAGTGTCAGTGGACATTAGTGACTGTGCACGACTGACGGCTTTAGCCTGACCGTGCTTGTAACAAGTCCTCAGCTGGGCCGTGAAGGCGGCGGGTGGGGGGAGTGGGGAGCTGGCCTCCGCGCGAGCTCGTCCCTGTTTCTGCTGCCAAGGGAGCAATCAGACCCTTTCTTGAAGTAGTGGCCAAAGGAGCTGCAGGGCTGTCAACCCCTCCCTCAGCACACAGCACTCAAGTGTCCAGTTACTTGCAAGTCTGAATTACTCGTCCTTGAGGAAACTGAACTAATGATTAACTTACACATAAAACAATTCAATAACTAACACCTGAATACTCCTGAACTTGTCATAAAAATTATATTTTGAATATCTCTGAATTGAATATAGATTATTATGCAAAGAAATATTCTTCAATCTCAAAAGGCCTAATTTCACAAAGATGAATTAAGGAATTTGGTAAGAAATTGGGAGGGAGGAAACAGAAAAGGGGCTTAAAACTTTAAGTGCTAATTTCTATTGTTAATGCAAATTCAGAATATGGATATGAAAATTCAAACCACCATGCACTTGGCTTTCCTTAAAAAAGACAATCAGACATTCTGATTCAGCTGCTATGAGCAGATCTTAACTGCATACTTGCCTAGAAGCAGAGTCAGTAACAAGCAGTTTATTCAGCAGTTCTAGAATAATGGACAAATTACTTGATAATTCAAGGTGCTGGAATAAAGGCCATTTGCTGTCAAAAGTAAATTGGCTACACAAAAGAAATTAATGTATTTCATTTTAAGTAACAGAAGCAGTCAAGCATTACAAAGCAGTCGTCTCCATTTACAGAGCCACAAGGTTATCAGTGAACTGGCGTCAGGGCCTCATACAGTCTCTGCGCGGCCAGCTCCACCATTTCTCGCAGGGACTCGTCGTCTTCACTTCCTTCTTCACACTCGACAGTCTGAAAGTGAGAGCACAAACATGCCTTTCACTCAAGTGTCCACAACTTTATATGGAAGAAAAACGGATGCCCTTTAAGAACACTCGTTTCCTGTAGGGGTCGGGGGTCGCCGCACCGCACGCCTGTGGGCTCGCACCTGGATGCGGAAATGCCCAACCGCACGGTGACTGGGCCTAACTAGACATTAACTTCGGGGGAGAAAAAGAATAAAGGGAAAGTCGAGTGAACTATGTTTACCTCAAAGCCCATATTATGATCCAGTAAATGACATTCCAAGGAACGCAGTCTGTGTAACACAAATTACTCAGCAAGCGACAGATGTGGTCATCTAGCCAACATCTAGTATTAAATCTGATTTGGACTCACTGATAATCTTCCAGTTACCTCTTAACTACAAAACACTATGCTATTTAAACATTCTTTTAGTCACACCATAAATATTCCTCATATAAAAATTTAGGAAGGAAAAGAAAAACACCCTTAATTCTATGACCTAGTGATAACTACTATTAACACTTGAGTGCATAACCTTCAGACTTTTGTTTATACATATCTGTTTTCTTTAAAACAAAAATGGGATAATTTATCATATTTGCTTTCTTGTAAACTTCCCCCCCACTTAATAATGTAGGTGGACAAGTTTGCACACGACTAAATCTACACCATCGTTCTTCGTGGCTGCATACACAGTGTTCCGTGTGTAAGGGTGCGCCATTCACATAATTCACTTACTGTTTTTATTTATTATCTCCTACTCTTGGATATTTAGGTCTCTTGCCATTTTGTTTGTTATAATCAAAGCTAAAATAGACATCTTTGTATATATATATCTTTACTCACTTGCCTAACTAATTTTCTTTGGTGAAATACAGTAAGTGGAATTGTGGATAAAGCCTTACTTTTTAAAGGCTTTTGATGCAGATCACCAAACCGCCCTGCAGAAAGAATGCACCACCTAACTTACGGCCTCCTCCCTGCCCCAAATAGCACTTGAGAACGACTTTCTTTCGCCATCACTGGGTCATATCACTCTTTTTAATCTGTGCCAATATAAGCAAATAGTGATAGTTCATACTTTAAATTTGCATTTCCTTTAATTATCAGAGGGTCTGCTCTGAACATTTGTTCCACATGTCTGCTGGCTGTATTTCTTCTCTAGTGACTTACCTGTTTGTGTTCTTAGCTTATTTTTCTATTGAGGTAAAATCTAGTGTTTTCTCAAAACATCTATATAGTCAAAGGATATACAAAAGAAATACCAAACATGTTACCAGTTTAGGAGAACTGTTCTAATCTTCAAAACGGTCCCACAAGGAAGACATACGTATTCATTTATGCTTGTGAAACAGTTATGAACGATCTTCGGGGTGTGTGGTGGGAACAGGCCCCCCACTCTTGGATCCTATTGTTTGGAAAAACTACTTGGATCTTGCTGGTGTGAACAGAGAAGTAGCTTCTCTGAAAAATCTGGAATCAACTGGATGCCAAACTAGAGAAGAGCTGAGGTGGATTAAGGTGTATTATGAAAATGGAAACAAGGGCGTAATGAACACATGGGAAGTGTGCACTACGCAGCAACACGGAACAGTGCTTATGACGAATGAGAAATAAAAAGGATGTTAAAACCTCACATATGATAACATAAACGCAGTCTATTAAAAATGTAGGAAAAAACTGGAAGGAAATACCAAAATGCAAAAATAAACTGCAGAATAAGACTACTTCTGCTTTCACTTTATTTCCCAAATGTCTTGAAATGTAGGAATGAACAGCTACTTACCCGAGTCTCCAAGTTTATATTAGCAGTTTTTCCATCCACTGTGACACTAAGAATAGAACCATCTTTTACACTAACACAGTCTTCTCCAAATATGTCCCTTAAGATAAACAAAGATGCAATATTAGTGGAAAATGCTTTACAAATATGTAAAGTACAATTTTATATATTTGAGGAAAAAATAATATTGAAGATAGGCCCTAGTTTGAAACAGAATACTTATATCTACTCCTGAGATGTGCTTCTTAATTACTTTCACATATTTTATGAGGCAGGTGAGATACACAGCTACCATTGGTTAAGAATGCGCCGTTCAGCAGGCACTGTGCTAGGCACTTTATATACATTATCTTAACCTATAATTCTGGTAAGGAGCCCCTTTTACACAGGAGGAAAAGAAGACTCAGTAAAGTGATCTGCTGAAAGCCCCATGGCTAGCGAGCACGAGACTGGTCTTCAAGTGCAGGCACCTCCGTCCAGCACCACCCGCGCCCCCTGGGAAAGCCTCGCTATTCTAGGGCCACACAGGACTTTCTGCTCCTGTAAAGCCTCTGAAACCAGAGCCGCCCAACAGCAGAACTGTTCTCAATATGCCCCTTGGGCAGGCACAGGAGAGCAGACACCT